CAAGCTATAAACAGTACATGAGATAAAAAAATTCTAAATTAAACAGAATTTGCAAAAATGTTAGTGTAAATATTAGATTAAATTAGACAACTCTTTAAAGTGTTTAGGAAATACCGTATTTATCGGCGTATAACACGCACCTCATTTTAAGAAAGAAATTTCAGGAAAAAAAAACTTAAATTTCAAATAAAGAACTTCTTACCCCCTTCTTACTCCCCCCTCCCCCTCTTCTTACCCCCCTTTCTTACTCCCCCCTCCCCCTCTTCTTACTTCCCCCTTTTCCCTCCCCCCCTCCCCTCTTCTTGCTTCCCCTCTTGCCCTCTTCCTGCTTCTTCTCCCCCCCTCCCTGCCACCCTCCCCTCTTCTTGCCCCCTCTCCCCTCTTCCCCTTCCCCCCCTCTTACCCTCTTCTTGCTCCCCTCCTCTTTAGCCCCTTTCGCCTCCCCTCCCCTCTTCTTGCTGCCCCTCTTGCCTTCTTGATCCCCTCCCCTCTTCTTGCCCAGCTTTCTTGCTCCCCTCCTGCCTCCCTCCCCTTTCTTGCCACCCTCCTCTTCTTGCTTCCCCTCTTGCACCCAGCTTCTTGCTCCCCTCCCCTCTTCTTCGCCCCTCTTGCCTTCAGCTGGCACCCCTCCCCTCGCCTGGCACCCTTTCTTGCTCCTGCCTCCCTCCCCTCTTCTTGCCCCCTTTCTTGCTCCCCCCTCCTCTTCTTGCCCCTCCCCTCTGTTTGCCCCTTCTTGCCTCCACTCTCTTTCTTTTCACTCCCCTACTGCCCATGCACTCCTGTGGTGTGGCCGAGGAAGCAATATAGCATCACGGTGGCCTGCGGTGTTAAGAGGTGCGTCAGTGTGCGCCTTCCTGTCAGTCAACAGTACAGGAAACAGAGCTCCTGTTCGGCGGGGCAAGGGTTTCTGTTCCTACCAGTCCAGAATTGCACACACTGGCCTACTCACTGACAGCCTACATGAGACAGCTAAGCTACATTTCTGAAATGAACCAACTGCAGTCGCCTGACCGCTCTTGACAGAGCGCTCAGGCGGCTGCAGCATTTAAAGGGCCGGCGTATAACACGCACCCATAATTTGTCCCCTATTTTCAGGGAGAAAAAGTGCGTGTTATACGCCGATAAATACGGTATGTGCAAGTCACATGCAGGAAGGTGTGACTAAGACTGTGACTAGGACTGTTTAAACAAAGTGATGTAACTGCTAAATGGCAGATAATTGAGCAGAGACTGCAGGGGCATCTACACACTAAAACTGTTTTATTAAGCTAAAGTCGTTTGGTTACGATAATGTGCTTTTGAGCAAATAATTGCATCTTGCACATATTGCCATGGTTGTCAATGTTTCAGTCTTTTTCAGAGACTTGTTTCCGTCAAATTCTCTGAGTGTGTCTTTACCTTGCACTGAGGTAGTAAATGTTTTTTAGAATTGGAGTGCTTGGATTTATATACATTGCATAAACGAATATTGTAAGTTAGTATTTTGTTGCTATTTTGGTTAAAATATTCTTTGTTTGTAAGATATATTTTAATAATTCAAGCCTACCTAACAGCTAAGAGGCTCACTAGACAACATGTATGCTCACCACACCTAATCCTCTTTGTTTCTCTCTGCAGTAGTCATCATTTCACAAAGATTCACAAATATGAAAAATGAGTATTCAGCCATAAAGAGGTTATTAGCTACATGTTTATATATATTTTAACATATAGACATCTGACCATATTGTTATGCTAATGTCACTTTAATTATCAATCCAAGTAGTATAACCACATATTCTCCTTGCTTCGGTTTTGGTTCCATGATTACTCTGTTACTTTCTCATTTCATTCTATCGATTATAGGTATGTCCACCCATCCTGTTTGATGTGAAATGGCTGGGATAAATTTACCCAAAACCTGGAAGATATTGTATAATGTGTGCATGCAAGACATGTGTACGCACACTATGTGTAGGCTGTGTGACTTGCCAAAGCTTTTTTTGCTTACCAGTGATATGCAGGCAAGGCTGGGAGTAGTTTATTTCAAGAAAAAACATGGTTGAAGCTACTTGGAAAGTTAAAGTAACCCTATCCCTAACACTATAGTGCCCTGTGCCAAGTTAAATACAGCCCCCATTCTGTTTTCTTCAAATAGAATTAAGAAAATAAAGGGTTGTTGTCACCTTTTTCCATTGCTGAGGCTACCTCAGTGCTGCTCACCTCTCTGCCTCCTGCAAAGTCATCGAAGAGGCATGGTCGACACCGGTGATGGTCCAATCTAAGTCTACATATAGAGGAGCATAGGAGATCTGATGTGCATTTGTGGTGAGCAACACATGCACATCCATGCTTCCCCATAGAAAAGCACTGTATTCAATACTTTCTTATCAATTTCTGCATCATGTGACCGCCATATAAAGAAAGGGCCACTGCACCAAGTGAAGTGGTCTGGGTGACTTTAGAACTACCATATATACTCGAGTATAATTAATAAAAGTATTTGAAACAGATACTCATACCTGGCTACTGCATTCCACCTACTCAAAAAATGCCCTCACCTCACTCTGTATTAACATTATTCTCACCCACTTTTTATAAAGTAATAAAAATTATTTTTAAAAAATTCCTAATGGGTGGGTTTTTACAGGATATGCACAACACTACTTTTGAAAACAATTTGTGAATACGATTTTGCTGGTCTCTGCAGACCCTGGAAACTGGTAATAAATGATGGCTATTGGGAAGGGTGTTAACTAAAGTCTTGAATGTCTTTTAAACATATTTAATTCAAGTGACAGATCAGTGTTCAGATCCTGTATGATTTATTTTTGCATTGTCCAATGTGTACTGGTGATAGATTTATATAATTCCACTTTTTATAAAAGCTTACAAATTCATATTGACATACAGTGGAACCTTCTGGGTATGGATCAGAGGCTTCAGAACTGACTGAATTTTTATCCTGTAAAAACTGGTAGTTCCTATAAGAACTGGTGTCTACAGTAAAAGACAACACACCTCATTTTTTAGTTAGTGTCAGGTTTCTTCCAATCAGGCCAAACTGCATATGCAGACTAGCGATAACACTACGCTCTGCATGGAGACACTTTCCTCATAGAGATACATTGATTTAATGCTTCTTATGAGGAGATGCTGATTGGCCAGGGCTCTGTTTACTTGTGCTGGCTCTTCCCCCTGATCTGTCTCCTTGACAGTCTCAGTCAATCCTATGGGAAATCATTGTGATTGACTCACAGAGTCACTTCTGATGTCATCCAAGCAGGCAGATCAGGAACAGAGGCAGCAGCTGCAGACTTAAATACAAGCAATATTTTACTATATTTAGGGAGGCAAGATGGGGCCATGGGGGACTAGATGGTAGTTTAAACACTATAGGGTCAGGAATACATGTTTATGTTGCTGAACCTTTAGTGTTCCTTTAATTATTCAAGCACTCTCATAGATAGTCTTCATCATCCAAGTCATCCTAAAAATGACATATGCTGGTAAATGTATGTGGATTCATTCAATTTTCAGTATTTGGGAGAAAAATTACTTTGAAGAATCTTATCTAGATCAGGTTGCTCTCCAACTGTTGCTACATTTATATACATTTATATAATGTATTTATATATAAGTATGCTTTGTTTTGGCACTCCACCATATCCATATTAACGTAGAGATGAAAACAGTAAGTGCCAAACATCAAAGAAACACTCAATAGGCAATCGTTGTTTCAAAAATCTAAATGTTCTCAGCGTTGTGACAGTAAGGACTACAACCTTGCACATTAAATGATATCCAATATATTCTGATTTCTCAATATCAGTATTCATATCACGCTGCAAGAGACAGTTACAGAGAATGATAAATAATATTTAAAAAGGCACTAAATTTGATTCACGGTTTTGCTCTACTGATGTGGAAAAAAAGATATTAATAAACAGATGTCAATCAGTCACATTTTACCTGTTGAATATGTAACTGATGCTGTTCATCTTGGCAGGGGTTAGGTTTGAACCATGTTTGAACAGTTTTCCTGTTCACAGGTGTTTAAAAAGCATTAGTTATTCCAGATAATTTCATGGTATTTGTCCTGTATTTCCATATATCTTTCTTAAAATTTGTTTCTGAGAATCATGCAAGGACAACAGCTCCCATCACATGTCAAAACCTCATCAAATAGCCGAGATTTAGCAAAATGACTCTTTCTAAAAAGAAATGCAGAAAATGTACTTTCACCCTAATTCCTTTGTTTTAGTAATCTACAAAATAGGAATTGGAGTTTAGTTTCCAAGAGTGGTATTGTGATGGATTGCAACCTTTAGGCTAAATTTCACACATTTGAATTGAGATTAAGACAGCTCCTTGTGTCATACTTCTCAAGAGTTCTACATTCATCAAAACAGGTCTAACGTAATTCTCTGATGTTCCACTTCTCAAGGTAACTAGAGTACATCCAGTAAAGTGCACTGACTGTGCGCACAGACAAGGCTTTGTTGGTGACTGTTTATATAAATAAAAACCAAGAAAGTTATGGTGGGGAAAAGACTTTTGGCTTGACTGTGCAGATCTGTGTTTAACAATGTATTGACTATTCACTGACTTCAGGTGGAAGGGGTTTTCAGTCACAATTTTTCCCCACCATAACTTTCGTGTTTTTTGCTTTGCAAGTAACGCAAAGCTTCAATAGCAAGCCAGTAACCAACCTCATACCGATGAGTTGCATTAACAACCAAACAGCTGTCCATGAGTGTTTCACTGCCTCTGCATCTCTTTCTGAGTTGTGTTTCAAAGCTGTTGTTTACAGCAAACACAAACTCAAAGGAATCCGTGTTTAAAATGCAATAATGTGGAAAATGTGGTTCCTTGTTGAACTAATTTGCACCCAGAATGATCATTTGAGATTTCTGTGGGACTAGCAAGTCTTATGGCTTGACTGGTTTGCAGATCTGTGTTTAACAATGTATTGACTATCTATCTATCTATCTATCTATATAAATATACATACATAAGATGCCAAAATACCAGAGTACTGCAGTATGCAATGATCCCTTTTTTTATTGGACTAACATAGTATTTCAAAGACCAGCTTTCGAGAGTTTTCCTCTCTTCCTCAGGTCTGAAGTTAATAAAAAAAATGTACCATTGCATACTGCAATACTCTGGCATTTTGGCATCTTGTCTACTGGACTAATATGGCTAGTCCAATCTACACTATATATATATATATATATATATATATATATATATATAGTATTTTAATAAATATATACAGCATTTATTAAATATACTGTTTGGTCTGCATAGAGGTACAAAATGAAAAATTACAGTAGACAGTGACATTTTTTCTGACACAGTACTAGATTTATACCTTGAATGCATAAGCAACAACATGCACAACAAATTATATGCCCGGGGGCACATTAATTATAAATCATTCAATTCAGAGGTTGCTGACTAAAGCTCTTTATGTTTAGTGTACTCAGGAAACTGGAATGTTCCCCAAATGTGATTTTTTTTTTTTTCTTTCAGAAATGTCTTTGGTCAGTTTATTAATGCTAGACAATTTCTTTTCAAAATATATATGAAACCATATATGTCTCTGCTCACAGAGACAGGAGACGTATCTTTAATATTGTTAAGCAAACAAAGCAGGAAGGGGAATTGGATGTACTTGTCCATCTAGGGACAAATGACTTGGCTTGCAATGAGGTTTCAGAGGTTAAGGAAGTTTTTTAGTGTTTTTGCCAATGATATACGGCAGGTTGCTTCCACACTGTCATTCTCTGAAGTTCTGCCTGTGCATAACACTCAGAACGACAGGCGGATGCTTATTAGGGACTTTAATTTGTGGCTTGGTGAATGGTGTCGGGAGCAAGGATTTGGCTTTATTTCTCATGGTAGCTCTGTTTGGAATGGAGATAAGCTGTACAAAAAAGATGGTTTGCATCTTTCTCAAAAGGGAACAAATGTTCTCAGTGTGCAGTTTAGAGATTTTGCTAGCATGTATTTAAACTAGGAGGGGTGGGGGGGCAAAAGGGTGATAAAATATCAATCCAATTGTCCCCCAAACCAAGGACAGAAGGTGCCTGTAGCAAGTGTGTATAATGAGAAATGAGACATGAGAATGAGACATGGTATAATGAGAAAAATGACTGGGACATAGCAATACCAGGGTACTCTTTATATAGAAAAGATAGGGAAGGCAAGAAAGGGGGAGGGGTGGCCTTGTATGTGAAGGATAGCATAAAATCTAGCCTATTAAAAGTTAGTGAGGCAAGCATAGAGTCCGTTTGGGCTACGTTAGAATTTGGTAATCACACAGTAACTCGTGTAGGTGTGATTTATAGGCCTCAGTTGAGAAAAAGGATAAATGAGTCATTTATTACATGTGAGTTTACAGAGGAAGAGGTTCTAGTTCAACTGTCAAAAGTAAAGACAAATAAGTCAATGGGACCTGATGGAATACACCCAAAGCTATTAAAAGAGCTTAGTGGTGTACTAGCAAAACCATTAGCAGATTTATTTAACCAATCATTGTTAACAGGAGTAGTCCCAGAAGATTGGAAGTTAGCGAATGTTGTGCCCATTTACAAGAAAGGTAATAGGGAGGAGTCGGGCAACTATAGGCCAGTAAGCCTTACTTCAGTAGTGGGAAAGTGATGGAAACCATGTTAAAGGATAGGATTGATGAACATCTAAAAACACATGGATTTCAAGATCAGAGACAACATGGGTTTACTTCAGGGAGATCATGCCAAACTAACCTTATTGATTTTTTTGATTGGGTAACTAAAATTATAGATCAGGGTGGTGCAGTAGACATTGCTTACCTAGATTTTAGTAAGGCTTTTGACACTGTTGCACATAGAAGGCTTATCAATAAACTGCAATCTTTAAGTTTGGATTCCAATATTGTTGAATGGGTAAGGCAGTGGTTGAGTGACAGGCAACAGAGGGTTGTAGTTAATGGAATATATTCGAAGCTTGGACTTGTCACCAGTGGGGTACCTCAGGGCTCTGTACTTGGACCCATTCTCTTTAATATTTTTATTAGTGATATTGCAGAAGGTCTTGATGGTAAGGTATGTCTTTTTGCTGATGATACTAAGATATGTAATAGGGTTGATGTTCCAGTAGGGATAAGCCAAATGACAAATGATTTAGGTAAACTAGAAAAATGGTCAGAATTGTGGCAACTGACATTTAATGTGGATAAGTGCAAGATAATGCATCTTGGACGTAAAAACCCAAGGGCAGAGTACAGAATATTTGATAGAGTCCTAACCTTAACATATGAGGAAAAGGATTTAGGGGTGATTATTTCTGATGACTTAAAGGTAGGCAGACAATGTAATAGAGCAGCAGGGAATGCTAGCAGAATGCTTGGTTGTATAGGGAGAGGTATTAGCAGTAGAAAGAGGGAAGTGCTCATGCCATTGTACAGAACACTGGTGAGACCTCACTTGGAGCATTGTACACAGTACTGGAGACCGTATCTTCAGAAGGATATTGATACCTTAGAGAGGGTTCAGAGAAGAGCTACTAAACTGGTTCATGGATTGCGGGATAAAACTTACCAGGAAAGGTTAAAGGATCTTAACATGTATAGCTTGGAGGAAACACGAGACAGGGGGGATATGATAGAAACATTTAAATATATAAAAGGAATCCACACGGTAAAGGAGGAGACTATATTTAAAAGAAGAAAAACTACCACAACAAGAGGACATAGTCTTAAATTAGAGGAACAAAGGTTTAAAAATAATATCAGGAAGTATTACTTTACTGAGAGGGTAGTGGATGCATGGAATAGCCTTCCAGCTGAAGTGGTAGAGGTTAACACAGTAAAGGAGTTTAAGCATGTGTGGGATAGGCATAAGGCTATTCTAACTATAAGATAAGGCCAGGGACTAATGAAAGTATTTAGAAAATTGGGCAGATTAGGTGGGCCGAATGGTTCTTATCTGCCGTCACATTCTAATTGATGAATTCATAGCATGTAGCTAAAAATAAAAAAACGTGTAAAAGAAAAAGAAGTGTCCCACAATATGTGTCAAAGATTGGTGATAACATTATTGCTTTAAACATACTAAGCATGTAGGTAATCTGAAAACAAGGTCACAGGGAAGCAGTGTCTCAAAATTACAAGTTTGCAAATGATCTACACAGGAGGAACAGTGCTGTAATCCACAATGTGGTTGAAAAAAAAATCATATACATACAATAGCATGTGCTTAGATAATTCTCAGTAAAAATGCAAAGTGTGTTGGAAAAACTATCCCTAAATTCCTACTGTTAAACTTAGTCTTGGCACCAAATCTTAAAAATGTTTTGTAGTGGAATGGGCTTTGCCACAGCACCTCTATTTGTACTACGGGCTGTCCATACCCTTTTGTTGCTTTATTTTTCTGGGATTGTAACTGTTCGTTATTTGTGGAAACAAGTAACAAGCTTTTATTTTGTATTGTTCGTCTGGTTGTTCTGGTAGAACTATCACCGGTGCAACTGGTGCGGTGGCACCAGGGTGCGCACGCTTTGGGAGCCCATCGGCCAAGTGACAGCCGGTCACTTCCTCCAAGCTTCATACAGAGCGCCATGTGGGAGGGAGGTGAAGCAGACCCTCACACTAGCTCCCATAAGCCTCAGCCAGAAGCATCAGGACCGCAAGCAAGCCACCCTCCTGGACACAAAATGTATGCTAACATGAGGGTGATTATGTGTGTGTATATCTGTGCCTAGGTGTGTGTATGTGTCGTGTGTTTATCTGAGTGTGTATGTATGTCAGTGTGTGTCTGTGTATGTGTGTGTGCATCTGTGTGTCAAGGTGTGTATAGGTCAGTGTGTGTGTCAGGGTGCGTTTCTGTGTGTGTGTGTGTGTGTGTATCACTGTGTGCATATATTAAGGTGTATACAGGTCAGTGTGTATATGAATTGTATGTATGTGTCAGTGTGTTTATATGTGTATATATGTGTGTATAACTGTGTAAGTATGTATGTACGTGGCAGTGTATGTGTGTATGTGCATACATCCAAGCAAACACAACATCCAAACACACTGCTGCAATTTAACACAAATATTACATACAAACTCACCCTTGCATTCAAACTCCAAAATTATATACAAACATACTCTTTTAATCAAACACCAATATTACACACAAATGTACATACGCATTACCTGTGTGTGTATACTATTGTTGTAATAAAAATTATTCTACCCTCATTGAAATATCGAAATTGGCTAGGGGTTTGTTGAGTGTCACGTTTGACTAGATGTTAGAAATATGGCTAAGTCGCCCTTCACAAATAAGGAACAGGAAACAAAAATATAGCAAAGGCATCAAAGGTTCCTAGAGACACCTTTGGAGGCATAGTTCTTAAGTTCAAAGTTGAAGGAATAGTGGTTACACTACCTGTACGGGGCAGAGAATGGAAGCTATCAGTGGCTGCAACCAGATTTCTTAGAAGGCAGGCTATGAAAAACCCTTGAGTGACTGGAAAAAACCTGCAGCAAGACGTTGTGGCAACAGGCAGTGAGGTTTCAGTGAGCACAGTAAGGGGCATACTAAACACAAAAGTCTGCTCTAGTACGCTCAAAATCACATAAATAAGCAACATACGTTTTGGTATTCTTTTCTGTGCAGTGATGAAACAAATCTGGAACTTTTCGGCCCAATGGATCAGTGGTATGTCCGGAGGAAGAAAAATTAAACATATGCTAAAAAGGACACTCTGCCTACAGTTAAGCATGGTGGTGGCTCGGTAAAGCTCTGGAGCTGTTTTGCATCCTCTGGCAGTGGAAACCTGCAGTGAGTGGAAGTCAAGATGGATTAATTGTGGTATCAGGAAATCTTAGGAGAAAACATAATGCCGTCTGTAAAGAAGCTGAAGCTTGGGCATCATTGGACCTTAGAGCATGACAATGATTCCAAGCATTCCTTAAATTTCACCAATGCTTGTGCAGAAGAAGTCCTGAAAAATCCTACAGTGGCCATCACAGTCACCTGACTTAAACCCCATAGAAAATCTAGGGATATGAAATAGGTGGTTGCAGCAAGTAAACCCAAGAATATTACAGAACTGGAGTCCATTGCTCACGAGCAATGGGCTCAGAGTTCTCAGGAACACTGCGAGAAGTTGGTAGCTGGCTATGCTTCTCATTTGCAGCAGGT